GCTCTGCTGTGGTTGTCCTTAGCTCCACCTGTACTGCCGGCTCCGCCCTGGATCCCTGCTCCGGCGGTCCTGCCTCAGTTCCCGGTCACGAATCCGGTCTCTGGACTTCCGTCCGATCGCCACCAGAGGTCACTCGTCCATCATATTGACTCACTCACTACACTGACTGTTGCACGTCACCACGTTTCACTAATCACACGCTCCACTAAAACCAATCACACACACTACATAACACCCACTCAGTTCCTGCTCAGATGACTGAGTATTGTTTAGCGTGTATCACTGCTATAGCTGATAGCTACCTTACAGAGCCTGATTTAGTTTTCTAGCCTTATCTTAGTCTTGCCTTGTCTGTTTCCTCGTGTTCTGATCATTGCCTGTGTACTCTGGATTACCTCTGTTGTCTTGCCCTGTTTGGATACTGTTTGCCCCTGCCTGGACCTTTGTCTTGTACCTGGATTATCTCTCTAGTCTTGCCCTGTTGGATTACGTTAGTCATCGACTGACCCTCGCTTGTTTGCCGGACTGCTCTTGCCTTGTCTTCTACATACCAGTTTGCCATTGTCTAACCCATGCCTGTTTCTGACCACGTCTTCTAAATAAAGCTTGCAAATGGATCGGCACGTCTCACGTCTCGTTTGTCCCGTAACAGATTGCTTCCATTGTCCTCATTTGTAAGTCGCTTTGGATAAAAGCGTCTGCTAAATTACTAAATGCAAATGTAAATGTAAATAATGGAAGGATGGTGAAAAATGTTCTAGTCAGTTTAATGTGTCTTTCATATAACAAAATGGAAACTGATAACATAAAAGGAAACATGAAGAAACAACAATAATGCTTTCCACTTCTTCCCATTGCTTTAAGAGAGGGTTGGACAACTCCAGTTGTGGTGGGCCACTGTCCTGCAGTCATACACACCTGAAAAATTTAACCAGTCAGGTAAGGGATGGAGCGAATCTTTGCAGGACAGTGACCCTCCAGGACCCAAGTTGGCAATCCCTGCTTTAAGGTGATAACCAGTGCATTTTGAATTCATCCTGAGTTGAATGGAGTCTTATTGAACTGAGACAGCATCTGTTCTTGAACACTAAACACATGCAGTTACACATGGAGGTTTCACAGCACTTTTTTTGTTTTCTGACTGTTACAATTGCTTTAAAATGGTTTTTATTAGGGGGAGATGTCTTTATGTACTGTATGTTATGACATAAACCTGAAGTATATGTAATGATTTATTTTAAACTGTTCTTCTCACAGATCCATGTCAAAAATATTATGACATGAAAAATCAGCCCATCCTAATGAATGAGTTAGAGCACAATCTTCATTGCCTCCGATACTATTGGGCTCTGCAAACCCCCATGACCTGAAACTACAGATCAGCATTAGATGTTCAGTGCTGCTTTCTGTGTGATATGATAATGACAGTGAGAATAATTTATTAGATATTAATCAGTTCAATTCAGTGATTTCTCACCCTGGGGTGCTGCCATCAACCCATTTCCATCTGCCCTCCATATCACTGTCAGTCAGACCGATCCAGACAAATGAAAATAAACAATTACATAAATCTAAAAAAAAAAAAGTAAATAAATAAATAATTACATTTACATCACAAATGCTCATAACAATAACAAAACAGAGTATCAAAGTACATAAGAATTTCAATCAAAAAATAAATAAATAAATAAAAAATTCCAGTAAATACAAACAAAACAAGATGCACAAGAGTGTAAATCCAATACAAATTCAATATCATAACATTCATAAAAAACAACCCAAATCAAAATGAGTTTAACCATCCAATTACCTCGTGTTTATATAGAAATCGAGAGGATACTTTTACCTAGAAGAGAAGGTGACTTGGATCAAATTTTACTTAAACGGGAGGCATTCTGGATATATAAATGGAAAACTTTGGTCCCACATGGTTTAAATGTAGATTTTGATTCGGGTTTTCACCATTGTTTTTTATGATTGTTATAATATTGAATTTGGATTGGATTTACACTCTTGTGTATTTTGTTTTGTTTGTATTTACAGGATTTTTTTTTTAACTCCTATGTACTTTTATACTCTGTTTTTGTTAGTTATGAGCATTTGTGATGTAAATGTAATTATTTTATTGAATTATTTATTTATGTATGTATATTTTTTATTTATTTATTTATTGAGATTTATGTAAGAATTTACATTTTGTCTACTAATTAATTATTGGCTGGTGACCCATATGTCTTCACCTGTGCATGATTAATATCCCTATTTATATTGTTCTCCACTTGGTAAGAAAGGCTTGTTTTGCTGAAACGTTGTTAACTAATAAAAGATGCTTAAATGAGTGCGCATTTATATTTGTTCTTTATTGTCTTTGTATAACTAACATATTAGTTGAGAATTATTTGCATTTGATATGGTGCAGTACTCTGCTTTTTGCATGTTCTGAGATAAAGAATGATGACACTGCAAATTCCACCAAATGTGTAAAATTACTGACTGAAAAAGAAGTCAGCTGTTTATTAAAATGCAGGTTACTCAGGAACTCTCTAATTGCTTTGTTAGCATTAGCAAAGGTTGTAAACAAAGAAAGACCATACCATTCTTACATTGCTTCTGGGTCCTCATGCATGCAGTGATGAAGTCTGTCGTTTTGTATGGTCCAGGAAATGAAAATTGTGTACAGTAGTAATAGTCAAGTTCAGAGTAGTCATGCTAACACCAATCTGCCTACAGTCTACTGAGCCCATCGTATATATAATATCCTCTCATCGCCCAGCCCTATTTACAACTGATCATTCTAATTTATATTCTTTTCAAATTTATTACAGATTTTTTTATTCATTATAAATAATATCATCTTAACCCTTAAATGCATGAATGTTTCGCCAATCATTATTACATATTCGGGTCTTTAGCGACCTGGACCTATATATCCAGCATGGATGTATCTGTAACTGCTGCAATAGCAAAAAATTATCTTGATATGTTAAGAACAATTACAGAAGAATAAAATAAAGCATATTTCGTTACCTCTTGAAACTTTAAAAGGGTTCAATTTGAGCAGATTATTTTACCATCGCTGTCATCGTCAGAGCGCACTTCCACAGTACGTTTAGCATCTGCCTCATATTCACGATCTCAACCATATTCTCAAAACTATCGTTTTCAGTGACTTCATATTCAATATTTTGATCACTGGCAGCTTATTCACCACATCCAGCATCAAATGACAGTGACATTTATATTTCATTGCGTATAGTAATTGCTCTGCAGTAAAGCCATTCAAACCACTTACATTTTTGCTGATGATATTCGTTTGTGTTATGCCTGCGGTAATTATGAGTGAAAC